AAATTATTTTCCACACTGTTTGCTGGATCACAGCAAGAGCCTGTCTGAAAGTCCAAATAGCGCTGAATACAGCACGTTTCATATTGATGTGTTTCTATAGCAGAATAAAAGTCTTCAGCAGGTTTGCTACAGCAACAGGAACAATTACCAGGATCCTATTGTTCTAATTTCCATGCACATATTTTTGCTTTTATTCAAATGTACTTTTTACTGAGCCTCTAAGCTCATCATCATCTGAAACAAGCTGGTTTTAGTGCCATTTAAGACAACCTGCTTCTGATTGACTGACCTCAGAAACACCAGGTTATAAGAGCAGCTGCATGTGATGATCACAGTAAGGAAATAAACTGTCACAGGCGTCATGCAGGGCCAAGAGTAGAAACAAAAACTGAGTGTCTGAAGCAGCCTGAGCTTCTGGCCCACAGGGAGTACTTGTACATACGCTACACTGACTTTATCAGAAACTTTGCTTATGTTTAATGTGAACATCCACCGCTGGAACATGAGATACATGACAGAAAACCAAGGAAAGCATCTTTGACCTGACGTTTAGCAGGTCAGTGGGAGTCTTTGCTGCTGTAGTTGGTCTCCTTCAGATAAAATACTGCTGCGTACCTCGTGTTTGCAGTAGAGCAGCAGCAGGTTTCCAAAGGTGACAGGGGGGAAGGAGGGCTGCTGCAGGAGGAAGGCCAGCTTCTCGAAGCCCTCCGACGGCTTCGTGTCCATGTTCAACAGAGCCTGGTTGTGGAGCGTCACTGGGTCCAGTTCCTGCAAAAATACACATAATATAGGAGATGAAGTACATAATACTGCACTGAGTGTACAAGAACAACTGCACTTTTTCGAACTGAAGCGGGCTGATTGCTTTTATAATGAACCAGATAAAACAAGTTGTACAGACTTCAACAGAAATACAAACTTTCATCGTTTGTGAGTTTTCATTTGCTCATTTTGTTCTTTTTTATCGTTAGTGTGTAAAAGAGGCACAGCTGGAGGGAGAAGGACTCTTTGAACGGCCTGTTTAAATTCTTGTTTCAGTTTCTAAAGATGAAGAAGCTTTTTCTCCTTCACTGTTTCTGTGTATGAGCAAAAACACCAGGTCTGGAAACGGTCACTTTGCTCCT